CTCTGTTAATACAATAAAAAATGAAAGCAATGCCAACAAAACACAGTGTTAATATGTAGAGTCCGATCGAGTTAGGCGCACCTGGCTTCTTAGTCCGCATGAATAAGGTACGGATGGCAGAAGGCTGTACCTTCGTGAGAACGTGACGCTATCGGTGGTGATAAGTTGCGAAAGTTTAAGCAAATGAAGCGACTTTGATCAAAAGATTCGATCAAAAAGAAAAACAAAAGGTCTTTAGGGCCCTACATCCACCTAAGCCTAATATTCACCGAACCGTAATTTTAGATTGTGAGCACTTGTAACCTTCATTCCAGTGACAAAACTGGCCACTTAGAAAGATGATCCTGTTTCCTTTCATGCTGATAATTTCGTTTTCCTTGACATAATTGCTAAAGGCACGTCGGCTCATTGAGATTTTTTTTTTAAATCTTTTCGTCCAGGTAACGTCAACGTGCTCACAATTTCGCATTTTATCACCACCCCTAGCGTCACATTCTCACAATGTTTGAGCACTCTGCGAAGCGTAGTTTATTTATGCGGGCTAAAAAGCGGGGTTTACCTTTCTCTGTCGAACCCTATACATTCGCACTGCTACATTAATTTGGGTGTCATCCTGTTTGGAAACTGTAACTCCCTTAACATAGTTAACACGAGTGGAACGTGAATGAAGTACTGCGGACAGTGCATGATGGGCAGACTATTTAAGGAAAACCACTTTTTTTTTTTTTTTTAATTCCAAGTTTGCCCTTGAAGCTACACTCCAGGTACGGACAAAAATCAGGAAAATATGAAAAAGGGGGCTGTAATAATTATTCCGACTTTGTAAGTATGATAACTTGCCACGATAACTCCGCTTTAATATTTGTTGATACCAATTATTTATACACTGTATGTTGCGTCATTTCACACCAAGTCATTCATATCAGCGGACGTGTGGCATTTAATGTCGCTTCCATAGTGCGTTTTTTTTTTTCAAAATATTTTATTGGTTTGTTACGATTATAGGTATATCAACCATAGTATTTAATATTTGTTCGGTCGTTTTATTTCCTTCGCATCTCGCAATTTATATAAGCAGGCACGTTGAATTCAATGTCATTTGCATCGTGCGTCATGGTTGTTGTTGGTACCGACGATTTGTTTATATTTGTCTCGTTTACTCGTACAGTCTGCAAAGTAGCGTTCACCCTCGCCTCGGCCGCCGATCAGACGGCTGGCAACATTGTCGAGTAAAAAAAGAAAGCTCGAGCGTCAAAAGCGAGCCCCTTTCGCGCTGTTTTCTAACGCCTTTCGGTACATTTAAAAACCCGAAGAAAGACGAAGAAGAAGAAAAAAAGAGACGGCAGCCCTAGCGGCGGGTCACGCAATGCACGAAAATGGGAGTCCAAGCGGAAAACGGGCGCCGAGGGGGAGGAACGGCACTTGCAAGAAAGCGCGTCCGCGAACAAGAAGGAAAATCGGCCGGTTTCCTCTCCGCTTTCTTCAAACTCCCAGACTGGGGCACCACCGTTACTACAGCGCCCGTTCTCAAGGCCAAGCGACGCGGGAGTCCCAAAGAAATCTTGCTCAACTTTTCTCGTTTTAAAAAAAAAGATTTATCGCTTATACGCGGCTAAAATACAGCGTACCTTACAGGCTGCTTCTGCATGCCGTTCGGGCGCAATTTTTTTATTTGCATAAATTACTTAATAAATTACGTGCAATTAAACTTTTTCACGAAGGTGTCCTGATGCGGTGCATTTAACATATTCAAATTTCGTGAATGTACGTTTCTAAAACCAACAAAAAAAAAAATGCGCCAAAAAGCTGTTTTTTTTTCTATTTGAGGAAAGAAAGCTGCCACTCACATTTGGCACCATACGGTACAGACTCATCGATATCTTCTTAGAAAGTACCAGCCTAAAGCCGCGCTCACATTGCTAGTGCATGATACAAAAGGCTATCTGACAACACTGTCCTCTTTCTCCCTCGTATCACGTCACACATGGGTCGTGCAAAATAGCCCGCCGGCATCTTCCAACCATGCGTATGTACGAAGCAACCATGCTTACATCATGGTTCGGGCGCGTCCGCACATCATTTTCTCATCAAGCGTGCAGCCAAGACCACACACTTTTTGTTTTAAATGTACTTGCTGTGGGACTGCGGCTTAAAGCAGATCCAGCAGATCCGAGGGTGTGCGGTACGATATGCGAGAAGCAAAAAATAAACCGGACGATTTATTATTTGTTTTTATCCCGTCGCGCAGAAAACGTCGAATTTTCTTTTATTTCATTCATTTCAGGAGCATTTACAGTGGCAACATTGGAGTATCATAAATAAGCCAACTAAAAACATCTTCGTATAAGGTTCTATTGCCACTCCGTTCATTATCTTATTCATTCGACTTTTTTTTTTTTAACGCCTAGATACCCCTTGAGATCCCTCAGTACAATCGTTCCTCTAAGTATAGGTGCGTGAAAGGCGTCCACAACTCGTGCTTTTAACGCCCTGTCTCAACCACGCATTCAAGGTGGTCCCTCGAAGTGGCAACGAATCTCATCGCGGGAGCCGGCTTGCCGCGCTGTCCGATGTAGCGATCCTGGCTGTTGGTCGTAGAAACGGCGGCGAACGAGGCGGGCGGACGCCAAGGGTCGCTGCCGTCGCGGCGTTCCATCTCGCTTAGGTTCCCGTCACCTGCGTCAGGCACAGGCTGCAGTGCGATCAACCGCACGGCGGGCGTTTTCCACCCCGCCGCTCTGCCACCGCCAGAATGGCGGCAGGCAACAGCGTGAACATGTTTATGACGTCATCCGTCGGAAATCGACACAGCACTTTTTGAGAACGCGGTGAACGCGACGGTCGGAGACGGCTTTTAGGTACCATACTGGAGGCGAGTCGTACGGGGCTTGCAATAAATTCCGGACCAAGTCGAACCTGTAAATAGATTGATGACCTTCCACGTAGAGGAGTCTAGAAATCTGAGGCGGGGCCTAAAACCTTCGTGCTTGTCACGTCGCGATTCGGCCTTCTTATCGGCGAACGCCTCCATCTTATTGATCGCGGAGGAATAAGAACCGGGACTCACTATGCCCCACTTTTCTTGATCTGTCGGTGACTACGGAAGAGCTTTATTTAAAACTCACTCGGAACACGCCATGTAAGCCGTAAGAAAGAAAGAAATAAGAACGAGAATACGGGCTATTCGCTAGACGCCATATTGAAGGGCGATGTTCAGAGCGTATGCTCGGAACAATCTCACATTCTGCTAAGACCTTGAATCTCGATGGGTGCGGAATGCACGTTGCCAAAGAGCCTCGGAAGCTCGCCGTCTTAGCAAACGCTCGGCAGTCCCGCACGCAGCTATGGCCGCCACCGAATACTCTATATATACGGCGTGCCAAAGTATGAAAATGCGGAACCCCGCGTGCGATCTCGACGGCCCACCAAGCGCATGTTCGTCGTTTCCGAAAGCTAACAAATCACGCGCCATCCGCAAAAACGCCGAGAAACAATATTGGGTTGTGTGTTTGTTTATCCAGCCCAGAACTTGGTCTGCCTCACAGGGGCGACGAGTCTCCCAGCTGTAGATGAGCAATTTAGCCAGTGCAGTACAACCGCTAGCCTGGGGTCTTTAACGTGCACCACGCAGTAGTGATACACGACCGCACGCCGGTACGATGCTCATCCAGATCGAAACGGCATGGTCGGGATTGAACCCAGGATCCCTGGGTTCTGCAGCGCGAGCTTTCGCTCCTGCTCCCCCGAACGCTAAAAAAAGCACCAATCTAAAACGCTTTTTTTGGGGGGAGAGGGGGGGGGGGGGGAGGTTTGTATGAGTAACGTGACTGAGGATTATTTGTTGTCGGATGAATCGCGCGCGTGCAAGCTGAGGCTCATTTGCGAGAAAAAAGCCTCGCTCGCGTCCGTTCATATGTACGTCAATAGTTACTGAAAGAGACGCCAGACGGTCTGAGCCATCTTCTGGTTGCTAAGCCGCCATTTTACTTGCGTTATCTCGTCGGTAAGAATGCGAAAGCATAAACATCAGAAACTACACGTTTTTTTTTTTTTTTTTTTTTTTTTTAGTTTTAGGTGTCTATGTAACCTGGACACATTGTAATGACCGCCGTGATCGTTTCTTTATTCTCGCAGGCAAGCAGTGATTTGCTGACAACTACGACCGAATGTACGCACAAGCTGACTTGAGAATAACTTTTGTTCGGTGATTCTTTCCGCGCACGGAGCGACCCCACGATGCATTTGGGCGTCACGGATGACGTCACGAGTGAGAGAACCAGCGAAACGGGATGGGTTGCGCGTTAGAATTATAGCGACGATTGCGATGGGCTGCTCGAGTTCTTACCCAACAAAATCCACTGTGCTTTAAAAATGACCCGTATTAGCGTACACAGCCTGAAACAAAGCAGCCTCGGACAAGCCATTAGATGATTTTTTTAATAATGCATCTATCGTAATCATATTTCGTCGTCCTCTGCTGGGGGATCTACTGTTCATACAGTCAATCCATATTATTGTGGTGGTGTCGGTCACTTCGTGTTGATTGGCTCTTATTGAGTAACGGTGCGATGTCATTGGCTACGCATGTGATGCGATGACGACAAAACAAAGCTGCCCACACCCTATTGGTTTTCAGCCGCAATTTACGGAGACTTCATCCGGATTGCACCAAAAGCACTCCTCAGTCGTAATTCGAAGTCACGCAATGCACAGAAGAAAGTTGTTGGCTGTTAAATAGACAAATTACTGTGTTTGTTCTTAAAGAAAATAAGTGCGGCTTGCTGTGACAGCGTTCGTCACTACTTCAGTGGATCCTGATTGGTTATTATGGACTCATGCTGCGACTTCATTGGCTGCCCATTGAAGTGATAACGTCAAAAAACAAAGCTGTCCATACTATCGGTTTTCAGCTGCCAGCAACGAAGGCTGCATCACGACTGTACCAGAGACGCTTTTTGGTGTTAGTTCGACGCCACGCAATGCACACAAGAGGAAAGTCGTTGGCTTCGAAACAGACGTTTACTGCGCTTTCAACGCGGCGAAGCTGAACGTCGTTGGCACATATCCATCCCAGTGCGCGAATGGCAGCGCGCGCCACCGACGCCGGGGGTGGCGCGGGAGAAACAGCGGACAACCGGAGGAAATTCAAAGAAGAGCGAGCCAGCGGACCCGGGTCACGAGCGGCCGCTGTCAAGCTAGCCGCTACCACGCAGGCCGTTTGAGAAGAAACCGAGCTCGCGGACGGCTCGTGGCGTGACGCAACGCCGCTGCCGGCGTAGCAGGGAAGGGGGGTCGTTGTACCTCCAAGGTGAAGGCCATCTGGGTCAGTGGGGCGGCCGCTGCTCGGCTGCTCCACTGGCCGGCTTTCCGAACGGACGCGCCGCGCTGCCCGGACGCTCGGACGGTCGCCGAACAACGGGGATCCCCCTGGGCGGAGGCCTGAGCACCTCGGTGACGTCCTCCAGCCGCTGAGGCTCCTGGCCCGAGTCCCCCTGGACCGGACGTCTTGGCCGCCCGCCGTGGAAGGCGGACGAGTCGTCGACGCCGCGTCGCCGAAGACGTCGAGGCGGTCGCTGTGGCGGCGGTCCTGGCGTCTCGGGTTCAACGGGCAGGGGCTCGGACACCGGTTCGGATCCTGGTTCGGACGGTTCGGCCCCCTGTCGGGATCCTGGTTCGAACAGCGGTGGAGGCAGTCGTCGAGGCGCCGATATCGGCTCTGGTTGTGACTGCGCATGGGAGTCTACATGCGGCTCCGGCTGCGTTTCCGGCTGCGGATCAGCTTGAGCATTCGGTTGAAGGCCTGGCTGAAGCCTTAGCCGAGGCGCTGGCTGGATCGGTCGGCTCCGAGGCTCCGGTTGAAGACTCGGAAGGGGTGGGGGTTCAAGTATTAGCTGAGGCTCTAAATGTGACTCTGTATGAGGTTCTGAGTGCGGCTCAAGCAGTAGCTCTGATATAACACCTGGCTGAACATATGATTGGAGTTCTGGTTGGAGCTCTGGCTCAGGCACTACTTTGCTGGGCCATCCCTGAGGTTTTGGTTGAGGACTTGAAAGGGACAGCCGTTCGAGTATTAACTGAGGCTCTAAATGTGACCCTGAAAGAGGTTCTGTGCATGGTTCAGGCTGTAGATCTGATACAGCATCTGGTTGAACATATGATTGTGGTTCTGATTGAACCTCTGGTTGAATCACTGGTTTGATCGCTCGTTTTTGAGGCATTGCTGCACTTTGAGCGGGTGGGCGTTGAAGTATTAATCGAGGCTCTAGATGTAGCTCTGAAGGAGGTTCTGTCTGCAATGCTTGAACGCATGGCTGAACATATGAGTGAATAAGAGGTTGAGGCACTAGCTTGATCGGCTGACTTTGAGGAATTGGTTCGAAGTTTGGATGGGTTGGCCTTTCAGAAATTAACTGAAGCTCTGAATGTCGCTCTGGAGGAGGCTCTGGGTGCAGCTCTAGATGTACCTCCGCACGTGGCTCTGGTTGGGGTGGCCGTCGTTGACACACTGGTCGAAGCGCTTGAGGAGGGGGTGGAGGAGGCCGTTGCGGTATTAGTTTTGTCTTTGGCTGAGGTTTCGGCCTCGACCCTAAATGTGACTTTAACTGTAGCTCTGAACTTGATTCTAGCTGCGATTCAAGATGCGAGTCTAAACGTGCCCCGAGCTGCAACACTGGTAGCGGAACTGGCAGAGATTTCCGTCTTTGGGGCATAGATTGATGCACTGCATGAGGCAACGGTTCGAGCACTGAATAAGTTTGTTGTTGGAGCATAATCGGCGAGTCCTGAGGCGGCTCCGGTAGGGAATCTGATAAGAGTATTTGTGAGGGCCCTGAGAAAATCGCTGTCCTGGGCTCTTGCACGAGTGCAGTCAATGGCTGCATGGAAGGTAGTTGAGGAATTATTTGCTGTGGCTGCAACGTCATTTGAAACTCTGGCTCCGATGACCGCCCTTCGGGCACATGCCGACTGCCTGCACGAGGCAGACATACGGGCAATGCCACTCCTTGAGATGCTAAACACTGGTCTGCTCTGAATACTGTTGGCGGCCCTTCTGGTAGCTGTGGAGGTCGCTGACGTACCGACTGAGACAACAGTTCAGGCGGAAGCCGGGATTGTGTCTCTATGTTTGGCTCTGGTGGGGATGGGGATCCCCACTGCAATCGTAGAGGTTGTCTCTGAGGCACTATTGCCGACTGTGACCTTAGTTCAGCCTCCGGCAGAGGTGCTGCTCGAGACCCCTGCTCACACGCCGACGCAGGCGGTCGTACTCGCCGTAGATGAAGTGGTCGCTGACGCACGGGCGTTGTGGAAGGTAGCAGTTGGGAAGGAAGCCGTAAAAATGACTGACGTTCCGACGAAGCTGCTTGCTGACACTGTCGTCGGGACCCTGTACGAGGTAGTGACGTGGCCCGACGCTCACGCACCCGGACAGCCGCTGGTCGTTTAAGCACCGCGTGTAGCTCGGGCCGAAGCACCGATTCGGACAGCTGACGGTGTTGCCCCGTGGACGGTGGTCGTTGAGCTGGTCGTTGAGGCGGTCGCTGACGTGGCCTTCCAGCAGCCTGCAAGGTGCGTGGCACCAAAAAAGAGGGAATTTTAAACAATTAAAACAATTTGCAAAAAAAAAAAAAATATGCGTTGAGAAAGGGAGGGAGAGCAGGAGAGGAGAGGGGACATGAGAACGCCGAGCTCCGATTTGGTATGATTAGTGCGTAGACCTAAAGCTGTGACCAGTGCACTTGTCGAACGCGCTCGAATGCGAGAGCCAAATGCCTGGCGCTGGCATTCTAACGCCTTCGACGAGAGCAGTGAAGGCAAGGCTGTCTCTATCTCCACGTACGCGTTGAACAAATTCGAATGCAAAAACCAAACGTCGGACGCAACCGTTCCGCGTTCCAACGCGTTCGACGAGTGCATGAGGGAGCTAGATTTAGGTCTAGCCACTAGAAATAGATCTCGGGGTTCTGACGCCCCCACGCGCTTACGTCTCTTGCTTCTCAATTTCTTGGCGGATTTACCCGGCTATGCCACTAATCAATGTTTTAACGTGTTATGAGCATCAACATTGTTCATGTTGCTCTACCTATAATCAATCCCACGTCTTTTGTGACGTAATACTATTCGATTTTAAGATCAACCGAGGGAGTAATTATTGCAATGATGAAGAAACAACCACGAGGCGCCGCTATAAAGATAGTAGGGAGTTTTCGTAGACCGCGTTTCCCCTTCCGCTAAGCCCTCCGCAACGAAGCAGCCGCTACTGCGCCGGCGCGCCGATGGCCTTGACTGTAGAGTTCCGGCTAGCGTAGCTGGTTGCGGAGGGCGTTGCGGGACAGCGGAAACGTTCTACGAAAACTCCCTAGTGACGAATTGCGCCGCTTCCGGCGCGTTGCGGGTCTCCACTCGAAATATTCCAGCCAGGAGGTGTACCTAGACGTTAATTGGTGGAGTTTAAGTAATCAATTCGCTAGCTATTAAATTTATTTCAAAGGCCAACATCCGCCACCTTCCTTTTAAAATTGTTACACCCCCCCCCCCCCCTTTTTTTCCCCCTATTGATCTATTGGTGAGAGCACATTCATTAAAATATGTTTACTGCAAAAATATTGCTCTTGTGCCAAAATGTCTACCGCAGCCTACAATGTTATACCCAATCGATTGATTATTTATTTCAAAATCTCTAAGACACAAAATGCTTCGGTAAACAAAATACATATCGTGCTTTAAAAAGTTTAATCTCCGCCTGATAGTCGCACTACCTCCCGAGAGGCGGCGTTTATAGTGGAGCGGTGTCTAGGTTGTTGCAAACGCTGTACTACACTTGAACGCAATAAGACTTGTGAAGAAAGAAACTGACAAATTGTCATACACAGAATACTTTCTGGGGTCGGTAAATCTCGGTGCAGACGTTTGTTACTCATTCCGCGACGTCCTACGGGAAGGGCATTTTTTTTTTTTCGTCGCTGTAATTAAATGATCGATTACGCCAGCAAATGGGTGCGAGTTGCCACACTCCGTCGTAAAGCTTTCGCGTGTCGCGTTCGCGTCTCGCTTGTGCGTTTCGCTTTCACGATCAGCCCTTGCGATTGGCTTTTGCGTCTTGCACTTTTACCAAGTCACACTCGCCAAAACTTTACCCCGCGTTAGAAACGCCGCCGAGGTAATTGAAGGGAAATTAAGGCGGTTCTGTATTTGGGACAGAAACCCTTAGATTGTTTTCATTAAACCTAAAAAATCACGAATATCGATATATATATATATATATATATATATATATATATATATATATATATATATATATATATATATATACCGGGTGTTTCTGCGAAGACTTTCAAAAATCCTAAAAATTAAAGCGTCAAAAAAAGAAAAAAACTTTCTTCGGAAACAAATTACCAGCCACGGCGGACGTCAGGAATTGCCAAAAACAAAGTAATTAGCCAACTAATTAATTAAAATTTGTTAATTAACTTTTTAATTAGTGGAAATAGGCATATGATTCTAATTATAAAGTTGGTGAGCGTTATCGAAAACCACTAAATCAGTCATTTTCAAAAAGACTTTCGGCGCGTGAGAAGCGTAGTATTGTACTAAAGTTACCACTCGTGGAGCAGGTACAAGGCTGGGGCTAGATAAGAGACGGAAAAATCGCGCGGGCGCCTTATCGCAACCGCTAGCTTTGTACCTGCTCAAAGAGCGGTAACTTTAGTGCAGCACTACTCTTCTCACGCGCTCAAAATCTTTCTGAAAACGACTGATTTAGTGGTTTTCAATAACGCTCAGCAACTTTCTAATTGGAACCGTATGTCTATTTCCCCTAATTAAAAAGTTAATTAACAAATTTTAATTAATTAGCTGGCTAATTAGTATGTTTTTGGCAATCCCTGACGTCCGCCGTGGCTGGTAGTTTGTTCCCGAAGACAGTTTCTTCTTTTTTCAAACGCCCTAATTTTTAGGATTTCTGAAAGTCTTCGCAAAAACACCCGGTATATATATATATATATATATATATATAATTTGGTGTCAGTGCGGGGGAATATATCTGGCAAGCCTGCAATTGCACGCGCTGCCCACACGAGCGACACGCTCTTTGCGGCCAAAAGATTCGGGAAAAACGTAACGACTGGTCGGAGGTTTTTCGTGTTTTCTCGCGTTTAGTTACATCTTCGGCGAGAGCGAACGTGATGTTCAGGTTCACAGGATAAAAATACCCTAGGATTCACCTCCGACTCGTTTTTAAAGCGCAGCTCTTAGGCGCTCGCTTGCGTGTTTTGCAACGTCGGCGTCCCCGTAGCCGTCGGCGTAACCGGAGGAGGAGGGGAGGGTACGGGAAGGAGGAGGAGGAAGGGAGGGTACAGAGGAGGAGGGTGCGGGGGAGGAAGAGGACACGGAAGAGGAGGAGACTGCAGAGATCAAAATACCTCGAGAGTTGCGCTCTAATTTCGCATTACTGAGATTTGTAAACGTCTGTCACTTTTTTGAAGAACCTCTTCGTTCCCTTTAATTTGTCCCGCCTACAGCGTAGGTCTTTCAACCTTCTATATATCTGACACTTCGGCGCCTTCTGAGCTTCGAGCGTGAACTCGTCGTACCCCAGCTCGAAGCACCTGTACCGAAAGCTCGCGCTGCAGACCACTTTCGAGAGCCACGTGCCGACTGTTAGAAGATGTTACCCACTGCGCCAGTGCACAATGGCGTAACAACCGAAACCGCGGAGCGTGCAAATGCCGCGAGCGGGTAGCTTCGACTCGTGCTCCTGCTGGAGGAGGGCTCGTGCAGCCCAGGTGCAATCGAACGCAAGGATGCAGTGTACTGGAATACGGGGTAGTGTTAGGACCGGAGCGGCTCGCGTGAGGCGTGTGGTGTAGATCGCGATAGGTGTCGACACCGGCGCATCGGCAGTATGGTCAGTATGGTGGTGGTCGTGCGCGTGCACCGTGTGCACGCGCACGTGCACAGCAGCCGCACCAGTCCAAACACTACCCCGTACTCTAGTGCGCTGTAGCAGGGAGCGAACGCTTGTGTCCGCCATTGTGCAGGGATTTCACATCTTCCAACAAAGGGCAGACTTTCTAAAGCGGTCTATCTCCGCCCCTGCCTGTTTCTATCTAAATGAGCACCTGCCAGTGTTCGGTCGTGTTTCCTCGTGACGCACGTTTACCCTAAGCTAGCTGTGGCACTGAAGGCAAAATTTGTCATCTACAGCAGAAACCAGTGTCGCCACATTTCAAAGGCAGACCGACCTTACGCTGAGACGAACGTCAATGATTAAAATGCAGTTCACAGAAAGGGGCAAGCGAGCTGGACAAGAATGACAATAGTAATTCCTGGAAAAGGGGAACAAGGGGTACAGAGGACAAACATAATTCTCCAAACACAGCTAGGCGACTGGTGCGCGACCAAAAAATCCGCCTGGTACAGCGCTCCACTAGAAATGGAGAGGCCCCTGGTTCGATACCAGGAGGAGGCGGATTTTTTTGGTCGCGCACCAGTCACCTAGTTGTGTTTGGAGATTTCTGTTTGTCCTCTGTACTCCTTCTTCCCCTTCATTCTTGCCCAACTCGCTTGTCCCTTTGCATTAATTGCATTATAATCATACCCTTAAAATGCAGGCCGTTCACCATTGTTTGTGTTAGGCTGGTGGCAGCTGTTAAAACCCGCTTGCTCTACTGACGTCAAACCCCTGGTTAGCTCAGCTGGTAGAGCGCTCCACTAGAAATGGAAAGGTCCCTGGTTCAATACCAGGACCAGGCAGATATTTTCGGTCGCGCACCAGTCACCTAGCTGTGTTTGGAGATTTCTGTTTGTCCCCTATCCCGCTTGTTCCCTTCTCCAAGGATTATTATTGTTACGAACGTCAAATTTGGTTTGGTTTGGTGCATCCAGTTTGTGTTCCCGGTGCCTGGTCCAAGTTGCAAATGCGTACCGTAGACGTCTCGCTTTGCAGCGGGAGGGGCGACGAGAAAGACTCCGAGTCCACGTCGTCCCTCAGGCGTCCTGGACCCCTTGCGAAGAGCAGTCGCAGCGGGCCCAAAGAGTCCAGTCGATCTAGGGTCCGCCGGAGCTCGGCACTGGCCTCCGAGTCCTGTCGGTCCCCCGGAGGCTGCCCCAAGGAGGCCAGGAACTGGCGGGCTTCGTTGACGAGGTTCTGGAGCCTCTCGTCTCGGTCCCCGCCGAGCCTCGCCGGGCGGGACCCATCGTCGGGGTTCCAGCCCAGCCGGACCAGGTCGCTGTGTCGCCACAAAACTCTTTTAGAGCGCAGATCTTAAGCGTCCGTTTCCATGTTTCGCGGCGTCACCACGCTGAATTTAGCGGGAAAAATGACGTCAAGTAATCTGAAGACTAATTCACTTTCCCGATAAATTTAGCGAGAAATCCAGTTTCTCCGCTAGATTTAGCGGACAAATTCCGTTTCTCAGCCAGATTTAGCGGGAAAATGGACGTTACGTGACCATAACACCAATTCAATTTCCCGCTAAAATTGGCGGGGAATGAAATCGGTGTTGAGGTCACGTGCCGTCAGTTTTCCCGCTGATACTAGCGTAGGAACTGAATTTCTTCATAGGTAACGCGCGACACTAAGTCATGTGACGTCATTTTCCCCGCTAAATTTAGCGGAGAAACTGAATTGGAGGAGGAGGAGAGGAGAAAGGAAGGAGGATGATGGAAAGGAGGAAAAGGTGGGGCACACCCTCCCCTCCTCCTCCTCAAGAGCTGCGCTCTATAATTGCGCATTACAGAGATTTGTAAAAGTCTCATTTTTTCAGGGCATCACGTAGCCCTCCAGGCAGTGTTGAAAGTAACGCGTTACAATATACCTTATTCAGATTCGCCCGCCATCTGTCGGACGTGACGCCAACCTTCCTTCCGACGCCATCTTTGAGGCGAATGGCGCTTTGGCCGTCTGCGGCGTGTGAAAGCGACGTGCAGCGACCGCACGATTGCTCTGTAGATCCGCTACGTATTCAACGAGGAAATAAAATTAAAAACAACCGATCTAAAGATTCGGATCGTATTATTTTTCTTTTCAAGTCAAGGGTATTACAGTTAACGTTTGAATAGCCGTAGCGCTTTCCTGCGCTATCCATGCTCCTAAAAACAGCACCCGTGCGTTAGTGTTGTGTCCTTTTACAGGGCTCCTAATCTTTCCCTTAACATTGTATTAATATGGCGATTTGGGCCAGTTGGCTCATGATCGAAGACAGGCGCCGAAAACACACGAGGACAAGAAGAGACGTAAACACTGGCGCCAATGTTTACGTCTCTTCTTGTCCTTGTGTTTTTTCGGCACCTGTCTTCAATTTTCCTTAATGTATAACACTTTCCACGATGGCATGAAGGGCTCATGATATTTGTATGTAACATCAGCGATAATCTATTATTTTGTGATTTTTTGGGAGCTTCATGTTGCTAGTATTGTAGCTTCGCTCGCGCAGAGCAACGGAGAGGTCCAGTCAACATCACTCAAATACACTGTTTTGCGCTTCTTTTTAGAGCGCAGCTCTTAAGCGCCCGTTTCCGGCTTGAGCGGCGTCGGCGTAACCGTGAGGTCACGTGACCCCCCCCCCCCCCCGAGGTCACGTGACCCAGCGAGGTCACATGATCACCCAAGGCCACGTGACCCCCCTCCGAGGTCACGTGACCCCCCAAGAACACGTGACCCTTAGTACCCTTCCCTCCTCCTTCTCAAGAGCTGCGCTCTAATTCGGCGTTACAGGGAGTTGTAAACGGCTTTCATTTTTTTCTCTCCCTCAAGTAGGTTTTTTACATCCGATTGAAGGCTGCTGCAAAGTGCCAGAAGAACTAGGCGTCGTGACAACTTCGTTTTGCACATGAATGATAAAGACAACGATGCTAAAAAGCAAAGGCGAACGCTCGCTTACTTTACGCTGTATCATTATTATTTCGCGACTCTCACATTTCGAGTAACAATTTCAAGATGTAGTCGAACGCATAAAAGCGGGTTTTGGACTGCTAAACTGGACATGTTGGCGAGTTTAACTGTCCCGCTTGCTCACTTCCCAATAAATCGGGTTTGCGCTGTGGGATGAGCTATTTTATTTGTAGCCAAATACTGCAAGCAACCACTTTTATGAGCACTGGTCATATTCTATTGCGAGTAAGCACGAGATTAAAAAGCGCGATGAGCTATGTGAGCGCACTACCAGGAGGAGCACATTAAAATGCCGCCGACATTTATTCATGCATTTTCTCTAAAGGGGCCAAAGAGTATATATGCGCAAGTACTGAATTTATTCGTTATTACATGATGATTATAAATGATTACTTTCCGTAGAATAGTGATTTTTAATACGTTATATTTTGAATATTTGCACCGCGGCAACACGCCGGTCATTTTCTTTTACGCTTGTGTGTCTCACATACGCTTGTGTGAGTATGCTAGTATAATAGATCTTCAGCGTAGTTTTTATTATTTTTAGTTGCAATAAATGTACTACTATACTAAATTCGTGCTGTATCACACGCACTCCTTATAATGCTGTTTTGAGCTATCATTTGGTGATCTCCCCAAGGAATTGAATACAAATCTATTTAATAAAATAATTTTTACCTCGTGTGTGTGTGTGTGTGTGTGTGTGTGTGTAATCATATCTGCAATATCCCTAAGGTTATACAACGGGGAAGCAAGATTAAACGTTGAACGCACCCATCATAGAACTCTGCAATTTGGGTCAGCACACTCTGGGGCAAGACGCACTGGGTGAAGAACTGCTCGCATTCTTTAGACCCGCAGCCGCGAATGCCAAACAAAAACAAACTGTCACACAAAGGCTGACGGCCCTGCTAAATATATCATACACATCTTCCTTGTGCGAACAGGTATAATCAGCTGGTCATTCAAGTTAACGCAGGATTCTGAAACAATGCGTGAGTCGGCCTGCTCCGGTGCTCGAATGAAGCTCATTTTTACAAAAAGAGATTCTTATTCAAACTACTGAAAACAAACTTGCGCTTAATATATTTAACTTATTCTCAAGCGGCTGACAATATACTAAAAAAAAAAAAATACCACAAAAACATGCACGAACACTACGCGGGGAGAGGGGTTCGTTCTGCGGCGAGCGACGGGTACGGTGGAGAAGCCTCAAAGATGGCGCCGAGCCTCTGATAGTACCCGTGGCCGCCGAGAGATGGCGCTAATAATGAATAAGGTCTGAGGCAAGGACAGGTGTTCTGCGAACCAGAACATACAGAGCGAAGTACCAGGAAATGCATACAGTGTGCGCTGCTTGTGGAGAGGAGGAAGAGACGGCTGAGCACTTGATACTCTACTGTAAAGGGCTTCACCCTATGCCTACCGAAGACAACATAGATTTAATAAAGTCATTGGGTTCTAGAGACAGCGAAGGAAAAGTGGACTTCAAGACTGTAGAGATTACCAAGCAAAGATTAAGTGAATGGTGGCAGAAAGTGAGAGAAAACTAGGCATTTTCTTATTAACTGATGGCAAGGGGGTTTTATAGCCTCACTTTTTTTCAGTGCGGAGTGAATATAGTTTTCAAATTTAAATATTCTAAGCTTAAATGGTAAAACAAAATGGCTAGGTGGCGTAAGGTACCGCACGATCCAAAGAGCTCAGGTGGATTCATCCATCCATCCATCCGTCTGTAACGACGTTACTGGTAATGCGTTAGGCTATAAAGTAACGCACTAACGTACTCGTTAGAATCTGAAATGCTCACAATTAAACGAACTGTGTTACTATCAAATTACGTTCTCGTTACTTTAGACTGGAATTAGTCTCGTTTTTGGTCCCTGCAAAAGAGTGAACGTGCCATTGGGACCTCGTTGTATTCTAAAAAGTTACTAAACAAAGGATACAAATATAAAATCGCTCTGTGCAAGATGAATTGCTATCGAAGTTTTTCACTACAATTTATCGCTGCAAAATACTGAACTTAAAGGAAGGCAAATGTAACGTTCGTTAAAGTAACAGTACAAGTATTTTGTTACATTTGCAATTCGATAACACGTTAATTTGTTGACGGACTAAGGAGTAATTAAAGCTATTTCGTTACTTACTTTTAGTAACAAACACAACACTGCCTCCTGGCCACACCCAGGAATAGCTAACCTCATGTCAACTCAGACACACACGCGTTGGGCACGGAGACAATTCAACCGCTGTAGGAAGGGTGGATGGAGCCCACTTTAAGTAAATTGCAAACCTTTTTCAATGTTCGACGATAACCTATAGCGCTGTGCTTCCCAAACTCTACTACCCCGAGACTCATCAAAACTATAAAATATCGCCGTTTGGCAATCGTGGCGAATTTTATCCAATCGGCAGTACCGTATTTACTCGAGTGATGGCCGCACTGTTTATAGAGAAAACCCGAAGGTTTGCTTTTCCGCAGAGCACGCAGAGTGCCAGTCACCGCGATCGACAGCATGATTCCAGCTGTTTACACGTCAGAGATAACGTCTTCGTGCGAAGATACCGTCTGTAAAGAATGCGTATTATGTAAAATCGTGTTCTCGACCTGGTTATTCGCTATGTTATTTATGGGCAACACAATGATTGGCTGTATATGTGCTCTGTGGGAAAGTAGACGCAAGGGTCATGTTCATTAATAGTGCGGCTATTATTCGAGTAAATACGGTAGTATTGGCGTAGGCCCAGGAAGCTCCTTACATCGCGCTGGTTTTGCGATTAAGACCCATTCTTGATTCACTTTCTTTTCTCAGGAACCGTCTCCATCCGTTTTTCTGAGACAATGTGGCCCAGAAACCGCAAACTTCTTAAAAAAAACGTATTTCTTGGCGTTCACTTTTAAGTTCGCTTCCCTGAGACGTGCACACACAGATGAAAAGTGATAAAGTGCTTCCTCGAACGTAGCGATTATTTTTTTTTTTTTTTCAATTTGGTGCAAGGATTGAGGCTGCAGAAAATTACTTCCAAAGTACCGCTGAAGTCCCTCCTTCCCGAAGCGTCACGTCATATAAGGAGTTTTCGGAATCTTCGTTCTTGTGCATGTTCAGCGCCTATGAAAGCTATGCACGCGACCTCTTGCTATTTTTAAAAAGGTCAGAAAAAGACGCCACGACTTGTGTCAGTGCGGGACAGTCTTCGACAGTAACTAGTCACTAGAAACGCGCTACCGGTAACTAGTTATTTTTTTCAAACTTGAAACTGTAACTCGTTACTGCTTAGGGAGAATAACTGGTAACCGTAACAGGGTTACTATTTTTTCTAAAGCAACTGTAA